TATTAATTTGTGTTTTGGGCTGATTACACAGAATAATAATTGTTCGTGCATACTGTACTAATTGCTACATATTAATTAGTATAGGCAGACAATCATTAACACTGCATGTTAAGTTCACCTCAAGATAAGCGGCTTCTATCGTTTAAAATCTTCAAACAAAGAATTACTTACCGCCAGGGCGACAAAGCAAGAGAGTGTCAGCCACTGCATCTACAAAACATTAATGATGTTTGAGATAGTAATGATTTTCTAGAATAATAGTTATTGCCAGTAAATATATAACAATTAAAAACATTTACAAATTCATTTATCTAAAAAAGTTATTGAATTTATTCCACGCAACGGTTGTCCAATTTTTTTAGTTATTAATTTCACTTATCATTTACACAAAATATCTTCGTGGCTGTGATTAAAATATTTGTTACGTGTAACAAGTCCATTATTTTAATATTATGTTTGCGACCAAAATTTCAGCCTAAATTATTACTAAACAAGAGCAGGGGAAATTCAATCGTTGTCAGCTCGTAACATGCAGGTAGTGTGTGACGGCAGTTACTAATAATTGTCAGCTCGTAACATGCAGGTAGTGTGTGACGGCAGTTACTAATAATGTCAGCTCGTAACATGCAGGTAGTGTGTGACAGCAGTTACTAATAATTGTCAGCTCGTAACATGCAGGTAGTGTGTGACAGCAGTTACTAATAACTGGCTGCTGGTAACATGCAGGTAGTGTGTGACAACAGTTATAAATAATTGACAATCTAGGTGACAGTCGAACATTTTCATAACTACCCGACTGCACCTAGATAACCTACAACCTAACCTATACACATGGCCAGGTAAATCGCTCGGAATCACGTGAAGCAAATTTCACGGTTCATTAAGTTAGTAGAAATTTAATGGTTCATCGTTCACCTCGTTACTGTGGACAATTCTCTCGGAAGAGGCTTGGTATGAAGATATTGCGCTTGTTTCCCAGATGATGCTCCCTTTGCATCAAATTTTGTTTCGAGACTATAAACCCATAAGGGTGATATCATTAGAATATGTTGAAATAAGTTCTATTCACATTATGCAACGAACTCAATGAAATTGAAGGATAAACGAATATGAAAGAGGCAGACATTACGAACAAATATTTATATTAACATGTACGTGTATGGCCGAGTGGATAAGATCGATCTCTATATGGAATTTTAAGTTATCTAAAAGTACATTATCATACGGATATGAAATGTTTGGAATATCGTTTAGTATTTCCGTTAGAAGTTTAATTACGGTAACATATACAGAGATGGACCTTCAGCAACATTAATTAATCATACTATTTCGGAAATAATACGAATTGATTCAAATATCTACATTAGAAATACAGCGTATATACTGTATATACTAGCGTCGTAGTTGTAGATTAGACAACTTTTGTATGGTAGCCGAATTTTGACTCACTTTCATACTGTATTCAGCAGGACGCTCTACCTAGATATATAGATATATAAACTTTATATACGGTGTTCCTATTGCTCGTTCTGCCAGAACTGTGGTCGAAATGGAAGACTTAGTACAGAATGAAGCTCGCTCTTATAGAAGTAGCCTCTCTTTATCCATGGGCGCAAGTGTTCACTTCGGGTACATGTGTTCTTTTAATAAATATTTTTGTGCGGATTCTGTACTGTTCTATCAGGAAAGTTTATGAGGGACAGCTGACGCATAAATATTGTGTTCGTTCATATTTATTTTTGTCCAATGCAAATCGATTCGTGAAGACAGATTTATTTTATACAAAAGACAGATTTACGTGTAGACAGATTTATATAACAGAAATAAAGGTTTCGATATTGGTTTTTTCTTCTTTGCACGAGTGTATCCTATTCAAATATTTTTTAAGCAAGCGAAAAGATAATCACGAAGGTAGGTTATTCAATTTATAACCCTCGTAATATATCAATAAAAGCTGTTGATCGCCTTCAGTTCAATGAGTCGCATTTGTATAAATTACAAATTAAAAATAAATTTTAGGGTGGATTATTTTAGTTTTAAAAAAATATTATTATGTGAGAAACTAGTAAATTATTATTTGAAACAACGTGTTGGGTAACATAAATGAAATTATATCCTCCATACTAACATGTGAACCATACTGTCCATACACTTTCTTCACTATTTATTTTCTCTCGTTGGTATGAGCAACCTTCGTATTCACATAATTTATACCTTTGCATTCACCGGCAACTGAAATAAAGAATTGGTATATACTCGTGACGTCATCTCATGCTCGGATAATGTAAAGGAGGTTACATTCATTATTCCTTCCCTAAGAAAAGGCAAGATTAAGTATCCACAGATTTCAGTGCACATGAAAAACACATGAAAAGCGATACTAACAAATATTTATGAAACATTCTTTATAATCGCGATTGCATTGAGATAACATGGAAAAATTATTTCGTGTAGTTTTCTTAAGATTTATTTTATTCTCCAAATGCTCTGAGTAGCAGAAAAGATCCAAAAAGCTACATTATTTACATAACTATGATGAATAAATTGTATAAATGCTACAGTAGAGAAATAGTATATTGTTGTAAGCGAAAGCCGAGATAACTCAACAAGAGCTTTATTCAACAAGAACGCAACATCCTGGAACAAAATAACACTACTATAAAACAGGAAAACGGTAACGTAATAAGAATATATTCATATGTAACGGTCTTACACATAACGAAACTATTTACAGAATACTTACAAGGAGAACAGTATAGTTGTAGGTCCTTGTAGGTGAACGTACAAGAGCCGAGGCAATGCTAACAATGGTCACTAGTTCTAGAGCGAAGTAACTTACTAGTAGGAACTACATATAGTACGGAATACTAGGTACATGTGGGCGCTACAATAGAAATTTCACGACATATATAATGATTATAAATAAAGAAATTAGCTAATAAAAATATTTTTTGCGATCACTATCCAACTTCGATCACCCATTTTTCGTTCGAAACAGTTTTAGGAAAGCTCTTATTGTTATGAAATAACCTAAAAATCGCATAACATTCTTAATTGGCACTATTATTTTATTATTAATTACTGTCTCTGTTGAGGTTGCCGGCGAAGTCTGTGCCCATATCGCATTTATGGCGCTAGTATATACGTTCCTAGCATGGATGTACAATTCTAAATACGTTTTGAAAGCGTTTTGTTTCCACTGCTTAAGGTTGTTCTGCGCGAGCGACGTAAGGCACAAGATAGACGAGATGTGATGCCAATAATTTCTTTATGGCAAGGCTACGTCTTGTGCAGGGTGGCCCAATGGTTAAGGTTCAGAGTACCAAGATTGGAGCAGAGATCGAGGTGCGGGTTTGATCCCAGCTCTGTGCGCCAGTTTCTGGTCAGAATTGGCAAGGATCGAGGCCGGGCGGTTAAGCAAAAAATATTTGAATCAGCTAGTTGCGATTTCAAACCCGCAACAAGCTGTGGATGTTCTGCAACATTAAGAATCGGCGGCAGGGCTACCGCCTAATAAACGCTGAAACCGCTTTATTATTATAATTGTTTTGCAGGAGTCTGGGATGTAGAAAGGTCAATTCATCTAACCCGGAATTCTCGAGAAAATGTGTCGTTTCCAGCCGGTCTGCGAGGAAGCTGTCCATCCATCGACTGGAAAATGTCCCTCTCAACAACCTGCATTGCACATTGTTCGAGTTTCATGTCTAAATGAAATTGTACGACCGATTTTCGAGCAAAAAATTTTCCCTGTAGATCTTTAAGTAAGCATGCGTCCTTGCGTTATATGTGGGCGTGATACTGCCAAAAGAAAAATGTTGTAATTGATTTTTAGGATATGGGAATGATTTCATTTTCGCAGCTGAGATCGGTTCTGAGAGGCGGAGCGGTAAGTAGGTCCACCTCAACGGATCACAAGCAAAGACACTAGTCGCTTCCCACTGCGTTAGTTTGGATGGTAGAAAATACCTGAGATCTCTTTCTTGCCCAGGTTTGATTATCTCGCCAGGCTGTCAGAGGGCGGTTAGGCATGTAGGCGCTATATATTCATTGATATTTTACTTATCGAGCGGACAGCATTCAGCCTGAACTACCATCTAAATTACTTTCTCGTTCTCATTTTACTTTTAAAACATCGTTCGCAAAACTCAAAGCCTTGCTAATTATTGCGTACCATTAGAAATATCTTGCCTGATATAAATATTACAGTCTGAGATTTTCATCGTCGTGTCGCTACCGTCTGTTGTATTTATGCAAGTCACCTTATAGGCTTCGGTGGAGGTTAGAGAGGCTGAGTTGAGTACTAAAGTTGAGCAGTTTTATCTGTTAGTGAATTCAGTACCCGATACAATAATGCTTTGCTTCAGAAGATGATTGGTACAGACTTCTTCCACTGCCCAGCCAAATTCTACCAAAAATGTGCTTTATGGCCCTGACATCTGGTGCACATAACTCGTCCGCCATGTCTGCCGTAGAGCAGGTGGACGTCATCTTTTTCCTTCTGTACGCGGAAATATTTGGTTTAGTGAGCAGTGTGGTTTTGGGCTTCATCTGTGATGAGAAACTGTCCAAATATTTATTACTTAGCTAGCTTACAGAACGCTTGCTCATGAAACAACGAAAAAAATATAATGTTTTGCGTATAAAGTAATTGTAGTGTTCCATAATAATAATGGCATGAACAGGAAATAGGCTAGTATTGAGGCGTAAATCATAAGCATCAAACGTCAAACGTTCCCTCATAAAAAGAATAATCCTGTGCCCAAATATCAACTAAAATAGAGGAATCGTGAAGAAACATTGACAGATTACACGAAGATTATTCTAATTACGTGGCCTAACTCTTTAGATTAGTGTTTGAGGTACTCACACTTCTCCCTCACGTTATTTTGTCTCAATATTAAAGCTGAGTAAATTTGAGCTAAATCAAGTTTCTGGGAATGCATAATTACCAGAAAATATGAGTGTTTGGGTGTTGTAAAAAATGAAAAAAAAAACAAATCTCAACTTCACCGGCATATTTGCTTGTATTTTACTAGAAGGAATTCAGGCGCGCTGGACTCACCGCAAATCAGGAGCCACGCAAACATTTACATTTCACGTAGTCGCTATAGTTGCGAAGATTATACATATATACTAATTTTGATATCGCTGTATAAATAGAGGATTAGTTAGGTCATTAGTTAGAGAATTAGTTAGGTTATCTGAGACAATACAAAGTTGAAGCGCATTTTTATCGGTAAAGCTGCGAATGCATATATAAATAAGTACTTTTTCTCAAGATAGCAATGCCCCGCAAAACTATGCCCATGAAGATGGCATACAAAAAGCGGTTAACAAAGCGAAAAACTGACATGATGCACAAAAATATAACTCTTCTTATACAAGCTCACTACTTCATCACTACAATATTCATTGATCGCTAACAGCACAACTTTTAAGCCGTACCTGTCCGTTTTATTTGTATAAGTTTTCCGCAAATTTCGCTGTAACAATGTCAAAAAAAATTAATACTGGACTCTAGCGATATAAAAGTGTAATTCTAGCTTGATCGTACCCACAATTTCATGGCATAAGCAGACGCAGTCGTGCGTCGATACGAGAATTCTGGCGCCGAGCTATGGAGGGCAAACTAAAGTAGTTGAGGCAAAGCACTAGGCATGTGAATCAAATTGATGAGACCATCACAAATGCTCATTTCGTAAGTAAATATGATAAATTCTCCCGGTCTGAAATTTATTGGATTAAATTTACGTGGTAACATGCCACATGGTTAAACCTTCTTCATGTTTTTGTTTCGTGTTGGATTCAATATCGCCCAATCGAAATCTTAACCAAAGTCATGTGCATTTTTGGCTCTTACGTAAGTTATCCTCTTCATCGTCCATTATCATGATCAGAGTCATCATACTCTGAGTCATCATACTCTGAGTCATCATACTCTAAGTCATCATACTCTGAATCATCATACTCCCAGTCAAAATACTCTGAGTCATCATACTCATCATAGTCATCATACTCATACTCGTAATCATAGTTTTCATCATATTCACTCCAAATGAACGCGTTGAACTTGGTCGCCCAGGTGACCAGCTCCTCTTCGTCCACCATCAGGTCGCTGTTCTTGTCGGCCTTCGTTGCGAATTTTTCCAGGCAGGGGACTCTGAAATATCAATCAAATAATTATTATCATTGCACGAAATCTAAGGGAAGTAAAAGATTGATAAATCATCGTTCAACTATATAATCATAATTTATTTATCGACTATAAATCTACTTCAACTTCAATCAATGCCGTAGCGATATTTTCCTTTGACGACAAGTCGGTAGTTTTAACGTGGTTATATTTTCCCAAATTTATTTTTAATTTATATTTTATTAATAACAATAAATAAGTTTCGACTGCTATAGTTTCTCATAACTTTCCCCCGGTATTCCGCCGTTAATCTCAAGCACAGTCCGCGTGATGGCCCGCGTCTCTGTCTTGCACCAGATACTTGGTCGCTCGAGTGCAAGCTTTGCTTCATGTCAATGCATCAACTATTGTCGCGTACAAGTTTACAAAAATCTTAGTAAAGTATCTAAAGTTGAACATGCATCGCCTTCACCATCAAAGGAACAATAATGTGAGTCAAATTATTAATAATACTAATAATAATTAATAATGATGATAATAATAATAATACCATCGACTGCTCTGCCCTCAACTTTTTCTTCCTTCCCTCAACTTTCCCTCAACTCACCCAATAGCCTCGCCCCTGTCAGTCCGGAGTGCCGCCATCTCACGCTGGACACATCCGGCAAACTCTGCGTAAGTGAGCGCTGAGTCGCCGTCTGCGTCGCAGACCCGCAGACTGAGGCTCCCTGGGGCGCCGCCCTCCGGCCCCAGGGCATCCCTACCGCCACGCCCCTGCAGCCCCGCGCGCAGCTCCACCATCAGCGTCGAGCACGCCGTGTCTTCTGAAGGTCGGGGTACGCGCTATGTAAATCGATTAATTATCACAATTTCCTAGATCTATTCATTGGTGATCCGTCAAGCAAAAGTCTTGAAAGGAAAATTTCGCTTTCATTGCGTTTTATAACACCTAAAATTTATCTCTTATCTCTTAAGAAACAACTTTGAAGATATATTTTATACACAGACTATTTTAACTATCAGAGCATCGAAAAAATATGAATTCAATCCTTGAGTATGCCATAGAAGCAGGTCGAATTTCAACAGAATTAAATTGAGCAACCTACGTACCTTAAGATCTTTGATAATGCAAATGGTAAAATAAAGAGCAAATGATAATGACGAAAAAGACCACACTGCAAAAAGATATCATGTAGATATTAGGTTGTACTTGAGTGTATATAGTTACTCTTGATTTTACTCACTCGTCATAGGAAGTCCCGCCTGAAACACGAATGAGTATTAGAAAAGCGCCCAAATTTCTTTAAAAAGTCAAAACATACGTTAATTTTATATGTGTATATTGCGGCAAAAAATCGAAAAGTTTATGCAGGCAATGATATCCTTAATATTTAATTCATATATCATGGAATACTTGTCATTGAACACATTTTTAAGGTTTAAAATGGAGCGCTAGTTTAGGTTAAGTTTATAACTTTCATTACAAAAAAAAAAAAACTGGCAATATTTTGACATTTTTAAGTCAAGAAACTAAATAGATAATGAAATTCAGATGCCTCGATATTAGTAAGCTGTGTTGTTGAATTTTTATTTATTTTCTAACAAATTAATTATTTATACGTTTGTTAAACTATTTTCCACCAAGCGTAATTATTATATCGAAAATTATGAAAATGCTTACCGCCACCGCGACGAGACACAAGACTGCCAGCCATAGCACCTGTTCAAATGCAATGCTGGATTAAAATATTCACAATGAAACCTGAGGTTCAGAAGTTATAATGTATAATTTCTATAACGGCATCTTATGAAGGTTTGTTCATTCAATAATTGCAGTCATATGGAGGCCACCATCATTTTTAGCGATTTTTCTCATTTTTGGAAAAAATGCCTTATTGTGCTCGTCATGTCCATCCGTCTGTCTGTCTGTCTGTCCGTCCGTGACTTCACGTTTTCGTCGAAGAGAAAATGCGCTCTCTGTCACTCACTGCAGTGAATACTGAATTATATTTTTTTTTAATTTTATGTTTATGGAAAATATTTAGCTGAATTCTAATATGTTCAACTCAATCATGTGGATTTTACAACATTTGAGGCTTGCTATTTATTTTTTTTAGCTGGATAGCTCACACCTTCTCCCGAGGAGACCAACAAAGGCGCATTTTTAAAATGTGTAGTTTCAAAAATTTTAAGAAGGTATATGGCTCATTCAGCACTGAGAAATAGAGCTAAATATTTGAGAGATCAGCATTCCAAAAGTTGAGTCCTCTTATGTATAAGGGTTTAAGTACCAAGATTCATCATAGTTTTTAACGCCATTTCTAATAATCGATGGACTCGTACGTGTGTAAATTAAATATTGACGAAAGGGATTTACATTTTCGATGGTCACAGGAATTTCCATAGATAACACACACAATAAAAAAAACGTTAACTCACCTTCATGTTTTCTTTTTTCAGGAGAATTAGTCAAGGAAGGCCTCTTCAAGTAAGCCAATTAGGAATATATTCTGAGATATGTAACTGCTCCTGCTACCACTACTCATGAAATGAACAATCTCTCACAAAATGCACCCTGGGTTTCGGATGCTGCCTTACATTACTCATCGTTGCAAGTGTCGGCTTCGCGTTTCAGGTGTTCGTGTTCGTCTATCAGTCCTAGGATCGCAGATTATTCGCCCTGCTACATCCGAACAATTTTTGAGAGTCGAATTCTTATTTCATCGTATTACATTTCCTTTTAATTAACTCAACAGTAACCTATTACGTGAAGCCAGAATAATTGTACGAAGATGCGTTAATGTTTCTCGTTGTTTCTTTCTATGCCATGTTACGTCGTGGCCAAGATTAATTTCAAATATTCAAATTTACCAGAAGGAATTTCTGAATCATCTTAAACCATGAGGTAGGCATACAAGGCATTTTGAAAGGCATGGATATTTTGCTATCTCTTCGGATTGAAGGAGCTGTCCACATGCGGTGATACCAACGGCAGGCTCGTCCAGTAAACCGAATCTACTGTGCACTGCACATACTAACTAAATTTAAGAGTTATTCTCAACCCAAACCAAGATGAGCCTGCATGCTATCACGATAGCAGTATTCTCTATAAGCCATTAATATAATACAATAATATAGTGGTGTCAGCTTTCATCAAGTCATTTCTGTCCAATCGCCGATTCCGTCCAGATTTTTACAACTAATTGCGAATTTCGAACTCCAAACACGCTGAGCTCTCCACTCATTGTGATCTTAACCATGCGGCTTTTCCAAGACAGTTAGTTGACGCGACAAAACGACCTCACCAGCAGAACAAAGCTCCAGTCTCGGGACATACGTGCATGCTCTCGTTGTCCATAAACACCAGCAGGTGGATTCCCCTCCTACTGTTCACGGTTAACAGATTTCTCTCGTTGCTGATGCAACTGAAGAAGATCCGCTAAACGGCCTAAACCTTTAACGTCTATGACACCGGGATGGAACGCTTCATGTACCACCAAAAAATAAGACACTATCTTGTACTGTTGAATCTGTTCCGGTACTTGAACGTACCTGAAGTCCCGGCTCACGTCTGAGGAGCGTGAAGCCGGGCCCAGCCCTGGCCATCGATCGCCTCCGCAAAAATGCGAGATATCAGATGGCGGGTATAGGTAAATAAGGCGGTCCTCCATATACCTTGTTGCAACTTCGAGTGCCTCCACCGCCTTCTTAAGGTCTGTTCACACTTGGGTCAACATACGGGCGTCAATCGCCTCACCGCCCCTTTACGCCCGCTTCTTGTGGGCAACGAAGCGATTGACCGGCTAGCGATTCACAGTCGCCCTGCCTCATGCAAGTGATGCAACACAAGCGCCGGTCCTGGCCGCCGGACTCAGTGGACGGCTGTCCGTGGTCTAGCGAGGTTGTTTGTATACGCTGGTCCTTCACTATGCCAACTAACGCGACACTTATTTGGACTCGCTCTCTAGTAGAGAGGCTAATTGATCTTTGTAGAAAACAAGAATGCCTGTAGAGAGTTCAGTCAAAGGAGTATAAAAGTCGAAATGCAAAAAAACAAGCTCTGGTGAAAATAGTTAAAGTTTTAAAAAAAATTATGTGTACAAGTCACCATTGACGAGGTTTGCAAGAAAATTCATACATACGTTGCGTTCGCAATTCTATCGTGAAATGAATTTCATTGTAAATAAATTTCATTGCATGTGAATTCCATCTCAATTCCATCATCCTGCATCTGGATTAGGGGCATTATTTTTTAGCGGACTGTCAAACAAGTCCACTGGCAGTCTAGTATAACTTTGAAAGTCTGATGCATTTATTTGCAACTGATAATTCTTTGACAATGTAATTGAGCAAATTGTATTTGTGTAAATCTTAACAGCATCACACCCGAGAACAATGGCCCAGAGCTCAAGTTATATCCATCTCCACTGACGTCTTATTAACTGGCATCTAATTTTCAAAGCACGCGGTCTCGAACTACCGCGTCCAAAAAATAGTGCGAACGTTTGTTTGCGGTGAGACGCAGCAGCAAGCGCTTCACCGCCCATATCGTTGCCCCTAGTGTAAACGGGCCTTAAAGACACGTCGTAGTGATGCCGAGGCAGGACGCATTGCCGAAGATTTTCCCTCGGGTGCGATGTGAAAATTCCTACCTCACCGGGTTATTCCGTTTCACAAAGCGAACTGAAAAAGATTGCAGTGTAATGGACTTAGATGAAAAGCCAGTAAACTTGTATAGATCGCAGAATCCAAATTGTAGATCTGGACGCAGATGTGTTGATCTATTATTCTTTAACATATAGAAACACCTACAGAATGTAAATATAGTTTATTTTCCGGACTTTTGAATTTGAATAATAAGTTTCAGTTTGACTGGCAGTTTAAAAATTTAACCTAAGTTCATACTACGTAAATAAAATATGTAACGAAATATAGTTCACATTGCAAGAAAATTAATACCTTTATTATTATCTACAGTCGATCATGGCGATGGTCGTCTGGTCATCCAAAAGGTGCATCGCTACGCTAAACAAGTAACTCGTTGAGGTAAGCTCAGAAAAATTTTGCTTGTAGTCCAGATTTCTGTTTTAAGTTTAATAATTATTACTTAGAAAGTCAATGAATACCCTGATAACAATATTCAAGCTTGAAAATGGTTGTTTCGTATCATAATTCCTAAACTTTCTAAAGTTATCTGACGGCCCATCATTTGCGATAACATCCTTAATTTTCATAGTTTTGCTCAGATACATCATGATGTTCAGAAAACGTTTAACAAAAGTACTGCTCTGCAGCTGCCATCAATATAAGAGCTTTTCTCTATCTTGCTAAAGATATATGACTGGTCTCCGACGTCGGGCTTTCTGCTCGAGACAAGGAGTTTAATCTTTTCTAAATAACCTTGAAGTTAAAATTGAAAATATGGAGACAAACAGCAAAAATTTACATAATCAAAAAGACTAAAATTTGTAGTTTATGTGTAATAATGTGAAGTTGCGTAATTTTTACGATATCCGCATAATCATTTAGAGTAAAAAAATCGTTCAATCCCAACATTCAGTTCTTTTGGATTCAAACTCTAACTGCGCTATTATCGTAAAGTAGCTGCAGTCGATTAATGACTTTTGAATTTAGTTACGAGTTACGAGGTTCTTTATTCAAGGTGTTTGTGTAACTATATCTGTGGTATTAGAATATTTTATAAAATGGCTAAATCAAAGCGTCAACGAAAGTGTAAGTATAATGTTAAATAAGTGTTTATTTATTAAAGTTGGTAATTTGGTATTTATCTCTGTAGGGCGTAGGCTATGGTTGTTGAATTGACTGAGTTTGACTCATTGGATTGGTTAGGTTAGCACTCTGAATTTAGAAGTGTGCCTAAAAAATTGTTATTCAGTTCTCATAAAAAATTATACAGCTGAAAAGAGAAAAAAAATAGAAAAAATAACATATAGATACCTATAAGTGAATCCAGACTGGAATAATGGGCAGTAGCCACCCGTAGAAGAGCAAAAATCACCCGTGCACGTGGTCCAATTTCACCCGTGGCCATGGATAATTTCACCCGAGGCCAATGGCCATGGATAATTTCACCCGTGGCCATGGATAAATTTAACAGTGTCCATAGTCATAGTGGCAAAGCAGAGAGTTTTTTTTAGACTCTCCCTCAAGTTCATTTTTGAGTCCTATAAGTAGACAAGCAAAGTATCATGGATACCAACATTATCATACATAAGAAATTGGTTTAAATCTTGAGTAAATGAGGAGATTAAAAATGAACTGATTATAAAAAATCTCTGGTTTGTCACTATGCCCATAGTCTATAGAACTACAATTTCAACAGTAGTGGCCAAAAGCCCTTAGAAAGCACATCAACAGAAATAATTCATTAGGCTACATGTAAGCAGTGTGGAATTCCAGAGCATAGTGACAAACCAGAGATTTTTTAGAATCAGTTCATTTTAAATTTCCTAATTCACTCAAGATTTTAACCAATTTATTAAATATGATCAAGCGGGTATCCATGATACTTTTCTGGTCTACTTATAGGACTCAAATATGAACTTGAGGGAGAGTCTAAAAAAAAATCTGCTTTGCCACTATGTTCCAGAGGGGTAATATATTAACTGGTAAACATCATAGTGACAAACCACAGATTTTTTAGAATCTGTTCATTTTTAATTTCCTCATTTACTCACAATTTAAACCAATTTCTTATGTATGATAATGCTGATATCCAGGATATTTTACTGGTCTACTTATAGGACTCAAAAATGAACTTGAGGGAAAGTCTAAAAAACTCTCTGCTTTGCCACTATGGTAAACATAGCAAATCAGAAAGCAGGACCCAAAAATCTGGAATGTCCAGCACACTTCCACTTTCAGTCCATCATCATCACTGATGAGTCTCTGCAAGATGCCACAGCTGTTTCATTGAAAAAAACAGAGCTTGCATCATCACAGTAACAAGAATCCAATCAACGCTTGAACGCGTCCAACGTAACAGTCACAATGTTCCCGTGTATGCCGCGGGGGGATTAACTCGTAACCCACTTAAGTGAAATTGAATTGGTCTAATATGGTGTGAGTAAAGAGTTGCCAGAAGAGTTCTGTTTTATTATGGGATTTTAAAATACAACTGACATGCCGATGAATGTACAAAGAGAATATTGCATATAGTGCTTTAGGTCTATGGGACTTGGTGCTTGGTAACTAGTGATATGGAATAGGGAGCACAGGACGGGCAATGGCACATAAGGTCCTCAAACAGCTGAAAGATATAAAAATTACAAATGAAATATACTGAGCATAATGTGACCATGAGGCAAAGCAGGTTACAATCGATCATGCCTAAATTTAGAGATTAACTTGAAGCAATCACGCTACAACTGAATAATGAACAAACATTTAGGAAATTAAGGACTGATAATTTAGCATAGTAAGTTAGATTGCAAGAGTTATTGGTGCAAAAATCATAATTAATAAACACAAAGCAAACAACATTGGAAGTAGATTTGACACAATAATGCAAGTGAAGTTATATAGGTAAAACAAGGACCGCATCACCATTATGTCTATGAACACTTCAAGCATAAAGTTAACTAAATTATGGTAGGGTTGTGCTTAAGTAATGCAGATAAATAATGCAATGGTTAAAAAGATGTGAAAAATGCAGTATTAAGGAAAACATACATATATATACATTATCTGGAAGAGCTTCACTCACCCAACAGTATTGCAGAATTAACTTGATGCATTTAACTGTCTTGGCAGCATTTTAATTACTGAATTACACTTGGCTTGAATGGAATTTAATCATTACCTCTGTTCTGAAACGATATGAAACAAAAGGATGCATTGAGTAAGAAAATTGGTTAATGACACAGATGGGTTGAGTGGAGAAAAAGCAATAATGCCTTCCGGCAACAA